CTATAGGTGATCAGAAATATCTTTGCTTCTTTAATTAGAGGTGGTGTATGTTTTCCAATTACAAAATGTTTACATGGCACTTGCAACGTTCCCGTTTCAGTCAATCATATTTTAATCTGCTGTCCTGCTTTTAGTCAGAAACGTGAATTTTATTTTAACTCTACGCATGTTAACTTGACAGATCTTATTGGAAGAAACCCTCACATCAACCTCATAAGTTTAAAAGACATCTCCTTTTACCATATGATTTGAATTACATTTTATCCTGCTCTAGCTGTTGTTATAGCTTTTTTCAGTCATTTCTGCCTGGACAAGTTATTTCTCCATGCCTTCATCAATATTTCACGTTCATTTCATCAATTCACTTGATACTTGTTTATGCATCTTGAATTTTACTCACCATGTGTCTGGCGCATAATAACCCTCGAGGTTTTGTGCCATTTAAAAAACCAACCAACCAACTACAAAAAGTTTATGAGTTTCTTCAGCACTTGCACATGCCAGACTCATTACTTGCTATAGAATCTTTGACATATGTTAGGCCTTTTTCTTCAGATGTCACTGAGGCATTTCCTGAGCGCATATTGCCAGAAAAAAACCAGTTTTTATCAGTGATGTAAATTTATTCTGAACATAACTTTTTACTGTCAATGTGTTCAATGAATTCATGTGAAAATTTTCAGGTGCTTCGATGTCAGCTGAGGCTTTTTTACCTGAAATTTTTAACTGCTTTATACCATGGCAATTTTTAAATTAAGTCAACCAGTCTGTCAAATATGTGACTGAGATTTGTTAAGTCCATTTCCTAGCAAAATAATTTGGCTTGAGCCATTAGCATTGGACCCATCAATGGCATGCCTTTGATGCAACATTACTTTACCCATTTAATCAATATTTTGTCATGATTATCACTTTTAGAATAAATAATTTTTCTGTTATTTACTGCGAGTGAGATGTCAGAATTCACAAACAATTTGTTTTTCATTTACCCTCCTTATGTTGTATGTTTTTGACTCCAGTGCCGTACTCTTTGCATAACTGTCAGATGGATATACTTTTATCAATTTTTTTTTTCAGCATCAGGAATTCCACTTTTTGCTTGATTGACATCGACATCGAAATATGCTTTCACTTTGCAGATCCTGTTGCAGCTTCAGAATTAAAAACATAATCTAAGATTCATTTTCAATGTAGTAAAAAATTTCAGTTGAATTTTTTAACATATTTAACTAATGATAACATACCTGTAATAATAATAGCTTGTAAAAACTTATCAATTGGATCAAATTAGAATGTTAAGGAAGAATGGAATTTGCTTTTCTACCTGAACTCGAAATCTTTTTGCCCTCTCTCTGCTATTCTAACAATAGGAAATCAGTGTGAGCAGCATACCATTCCAAAGCATCACTCAAGTCCTGAGAGTATGATTGTGAGCAATGCAGAAGAATGTATTGTCCTTGATTGCAGTTCCGATTCCCTAGTCAGCAGGTGCTTAAAAGCAACATGCAGGAATCCGTTAGTCTAGAGCAGTGGTCGGCAAACTTATTAGCCAAAGAGCCAAATATGAACATTACAATAATTTTTAAAAAACTTGAGAGCCAAATCTGCTTGTTTAGTAAACTTTTATTACACTAAATAAAACTAAATTTAAATACTTAATAAATATTTATTAATGCGAACAATGTGCTTGCATCTCCTTGGAAAGTTTGAGTGAGTCAGGTTTGTATGTTGTTGTTTTTAATTTTAGGCATGATTCCAAGATCTCGTCAATAAGACCATTTCCTAGTTTACTCTTGATAATGTTCATGCTTGAAAAAGATTGTTCGCATATGTATGTAGAACCGAAAAGGGAAAGAACAGCAAACGCGAGCTTTTTCAGCTGATCGTAAGAGTCAGGAATACTATTCCAAGCGTTGAAAATGATCATGTCTTCCTTTTCCAGGTTATTCAAAGCAGACCACTTGTGTTGTGAACTAAGATCACATTTTTTATTCTCCAATATTTACAATTCAACACAAAGATGTTCAAATTTAGAGTGCCATATCTCCTCGTTTTTTAAATCCAGCAATTGTATTTCAAAGCTACCAATGTCAATTTCAAAAGGAGAAAGTTTCAACTCTGTTATCGTAGCATTAAGAGGATTTTTGAGAAATGCTAAAGTTGCTCTGCGGTTTTAAAATTCCTGAAACCTGCTGATAAATGCTTCCCTCATATTTAAAATTATTGTTTTAAAATGGTGTTTATCAATAGAGGAATTATTTTATTGGCGATGCTTCAGCAGGCTCGGAAAGTGAAGCAATGTTTCCCTTTCAAGATCCTTTGCAAAAATGGATAATTTGTTTTCGAATGTTATTACTTCTTCTAACATCGAAAAAATTAGGTTTCCTTTCCCTTGTAGTTTACGATTAAGCTGATTTAGATGAGATGTAACGTCTACCATGAAATAGAAGTTTTGGATCCACTGATCGTCTGATAGTTATGGATAGTGGACGCTATTCTGAAGAAAAAATGCTTTAATTTCCGGAAGAAGGGATGCGAAACGTTTTAAAATGTTTCCTCTTGATAACCAACGTACCTTGTTATGAAGCAGAAGATCAGCGTACTCACTCTCCATTTCAAATAAAAATTCTTTTAATTGGCGAAGATTAAAAGCTTTAGCTAAAATGGAGTTGATAATAGTGCTACACACAGTGAAATACAGATATAAAGTAGTCTTTTTAAAATCTATGCTAAATTTTCTGAACATGGGCAAAATCATTCAAGAATTTTGTTAAATATTTTAACATATAATCTACTGTGTGGAGCACTGTAAGGTCACCAATTCCATAACTTTAGAATTTTTTCCGGAAATGTTTTCGCACGAAGCGCTTTTTAGTGAATGATATAATGGTAAACAAGTATCTCGTGATTAGTTTTTTTCTTTCTTTTCGTGATTAACTTTTTAATAAGACAGGACAACGGCAGACATGGTAGATATGACAAAACTGTTTACACTGAAACTGATGCTCTGTGATGCCAATTTGTGTCTTCACTACTTTATAAAAAGCATGCACGCGCATGGTTTTTGTACATGGTTTATGTTTACGTTTACGAAAACTAATAAAACTAAACTCGATGTTCGTTACGTATTTTTATAAGAATATAAAATTTTTATTACCTATCTATCTTTTTACTCAAACAAAAAATTATACATGTTCTCGATTTATAGAAAAATTTTAATTTATCAAAATAAGATGTAATTTTTTTCTTACCAAGCATTTTTTTTAAATGTAAATATTATTGCACCTTCCGTGGATATTTGTACCAGAGCCACACTTAAGGAGCCAAAGAGCCACATGCGGCTCTGGAGCCGCACTTTGCCGACCACTGGTCTAGAGAAACATTTACTGTGTGCTTTTTGTTTAGTATTTATGTTAAGGGACAAGGAATTCATTAAAACAAAAATTTTTTTTTTTTTGCTTGTGGTCTTTAGGCCTGGATATGGAATTTCTGAATTTTGGACATTATAAGGTTTTTGTAGTTTTTAAATATGTCTTCTATATTTTATTATTTACTCAACAATAGTCAATTCACATTGTTCGTGTTCAATAGACAATATGATACGGCATATCTAACAAATAAATCTAAATGCTGCATCTAAATTTCTATGTGTGATTCAGTGGCATTGTTATCTAAACCAACATTCAGTCTAGTTTAAAGAGAATTTATTGGAATGCCAAGAAAAATTAAACTAATCAGTTTGATATCTTATTTGCAATATTGAAGCTGCATTAAAAAAACTGAGAGCAAGTTCCAGAGTTCAGACTGTTGCCACTTAAGAGATCTCTAAATCAATGTGCTTTTACTGATTTTTGCATTGCCATTCAGAGGTAGAAAAAAGTGTCCATTCAAACTGGAACAGTATGCATGTATTTTAGTGATATTTTATGTTGTTATTGCATATGTTCCAAATGTCATATGATAAAAGTGAATATGAATATTCTGGCAGGTCAGAGCAAGATTTAGATGTAGTGAGAGTGAATCATCTAGTGAGGACTGTTGCGAGGACTGTGATGTTTCCTAATGTGTTGTATCACATCTATCACACTGCCACTGCTATATAAATTGTTTACAAATATTAATTAAAGTAAGGTACCATAAGCAAATGGTCTTTTTTTACATGCTGTAGTTGCCCTACCTGACTTAACAAGTTAATTCGGGCTATAGATTATATGTTTCAAATGTCATATGATAAAAGTGAATATGAATATTCTGGCAGGTCAGAGCAAGAATTAGATGCAGCAGGAGTGAATCATCTAGCGAGAACTGTGATGTATCACATTTTCACATCTATCACACTACCACCGCTATATAAATTGTTTACAAATATTAAATAAAATAAAGGTACCATAAGCAAAAAGTGTTTTTTTTTTTTTTTTTTTTTTTTACATGCTGTAGTTGCCCTACCCAACTTAACAAGTTAATTCGGGCTATGGATTTTTTAAAACTTTTCGTTGAATATTTCTTACCAAATTTGGTCAATACTGGCAAAAATGTTTTTGAATTAAAGTTTGTCACATTGCTTTAAACTGCTTTATTGCACATTGCTAAAATTTGCTAAGTTAGGCACATCTCTTAGCAAATTTTTGGAAGATTATTAAATAACAATTTGGTCTCTAAGCAGTTAAACGGTCCTTACTTTTTCGAATTTTTTTTTTTTGCTCTATTTGCAAGTAACTTATAATTTTATGAGTATATAATTACTATTAAAACAGTATATGACATTTTGATTTCATTATTTTTGTAACAGACTTTAGAAAGCTTGAATAATGAGAATCTGTTATTTAAACTGAAAATTGTCATGATTCCTAGACTACCTCTAAAATGACAAGCATCACGCAAGATAAAATCATTTAACTGTGGGTGATCATCTTAGAGTATGTTCACTGTATATATTATGCACTTTTTTGTTTTGTATGTGGAAAAAATATTCTGTTGTAATATATTTTTTCTTTTTGCAGGGAATTGCAAGAAGGTATACCTGTTGTTGATAAAGATGGTAACAAAATTGGCTCTTCCAAAATTGCTGCTAAATGGGCAATTGCTCAAGTTGTATTATCTAGAATTGGAATGGCTATGCCTGGCATGTGTATGTAAAGTATTGATATTTTTGTTTACTTTTTGTCAACTGAAATAAATAAAAATTTCTTTCATATATTTAGTGTTTTGTAGCTCGTGCTGTGGCAAGTTTTGTGGTAAAGAAACTACTTGTTACAATTTGTAATATTAGTTAAAGTAGTCTACTGAGATAATTTTTGTAAATGGTTTAGATGTTAATAAACACATTCAGAAAAATACAGAAAGAAAATGGTGTTGAGAGAAATCTATTATAAATTAATAGAATGGAATTTGTTTGCTTGTGTACCCTTTACCTTGGTTAAATTGATAAAAAAAATTGAGTTAGCAACTGATCTTTATGCATTTTTAAATCACAGACTGAGGTTTGTGATTTAAACGATAGAAACTGGGTTACTGTTTCGCATGTTGCTGAAAAATCTTGGAACAACTAAAGATTTTTTTTGAATGATAATGTTTTTTTTTTTTTTTTTTTTTTTTTTTTTTTTTTTTTAAAAGCAATGAACTTTTGAAAATTTTGTTAAATTTATTCACTGTATAAAGAATGGGGATATATAGACAGTAAATTATTAAACCACTAAAAGAACTTAAATATGTGCTATATTGCATCAATTTATTAGTTTTGATGAAAGTGGAAGTCATAATTTGGCTGTAAGAGCTGGTTTAGTTTATGACATATCTAAAATTCTTCCTATTTTTAATTGCTGTTGAAAGGTTTCACACTTCCTAAGCTAAACATACAAACTACATGTAGTGTAAATAGCATGTTGCATTCGGTTGCTTGAATTTATCAATTATATTTTTCAAGTAAGATTATTGATTTAAGGTAAGTGAACTCCTCTCAAATTCCCATTTATTAATTATGTTTTAAGCATTTTAAAAATGGATGTTAACATTTCTAATATGTAAAGAGCAGTAAAAATGTTCTGAAAAAGTATAGGATGATATATTTTGAGAGAAATCTATTATAAATTAATGGAAGCAAACATACTTTCTCTTACTGCTACCATAAGAAAATTAACTTTCACAATATTTAATGGGTTTCATGTTTAGTGTTTTAATCTTAAGTGGGCCCACCAGGGGCCGAGCGGTAAAGTCGTTGAACACTGGTGGTTCGGTCCGAGGTTTGGAATCCCATGGACGAGCTGGTTGCATAAGCATTTTTGTAGTTTTTCCCTTCTGTAACGTATATACAAGCCAGTTTCCCTTAGAAAGTCCTGGCATCCCTCCCCTTAGGAAGATAGCCCTCGAGGCTTTGCTGTAGTTAAAATAAACCAAACCAAACTTATTTAAGGTATGGTAGGTTTATTTATTGATGTTTTTTCATCAGGTTTGTATATTACTTGAAATTTTTTTACAAAATAATCAAGTAACAACTTTAGTTTGAGAGGTCTCTGTATAAAATCATTATGCAATTCACTGTTATTAAAATTACAGAGAGGACAAAAATTTGCAAAATCTGACTAAACCTGTATTGGCTCATTTTTTTTTTAAATTTGAGTTTCGATACATGGACCAGTAATCTCTGGTATGATTTTTTGCATGTATCATAAGAAGAATAATTTTGAATATTTTTGTCACTTCCATTTTACTGTTCTGCATCTTTTCTCGCATTAATATTGATTTTAATAATGGTGTAAATTTGTTTCATCATACAACATTCGAAAGAAATCATTGCCAAGGAACATGTCTTTAGTTACAGAAATGTTTTGTAAGATCGGAATAATTTTGTTTTATGCTCAGATTTTCTATAAATATGTCCATGACAGGAATTTCTTCTTCATGAAGGCTGTCCTTGTGGTTGTCTATGTAATATCTTGATTGTCGATATCTTCAAGACTTTTGTATGTGAGTGAAGTCTTTTTTAGATATTAATTAAGGAAAATGTTAGAACTATTATAATCTTCATTAGCAGTTGCAGGCAGCATCGTTTTATACATCTAAAAACACATCTGCAAAAAATGCTTCACTGTGTTCTTCAAACTGATGTTCCAGTTTTGATTGCTAGTTCAAAATTGAATGGCAGTTCAATAAAGCTATAACATTAAAAATAAAATAAAAGCAATGGTTATTATTCAAACAGTAACAGTTTTGTATGTACAAGATGTAATTTAGCGTGCATCTTTGGTTATCTAAAAACTGAATAATACTGATTCACATTTATCATTTGCACTTGAAAACTGAAAAATACTGATTTGCATCCTCTGTGTTTAGTGTGTTCAGTTCTTTTTCTTCAGAATTGATACATGCGTTACAATCTTCCTTTTTTGATTTTCAGATGATAAAATTAGAGGGAAAAAAATAAATGGAAATTTCGAGAGTAAATATAGCATGTTTCTTTTAATAGATTCCATTTTTGTTGAAATTGGCCGTTAAGTTCTCATTTATATTTGATTTTTCAGGAGTCTTAAATATGGTTACTGAGAAAGTTTTGGCGTTTTTAGAATTTGGCAAAAAATCTCTACACCAAATTATTTTTATAATTACCTCTATCAAAACATACGAAGAAAGCGTATAATGCATTATAAAGTGCATTGAAGTTAAACTTGTGCCTTTTTTTTCCTTTCTGTAATGGACCATTAAATTAAACCATAGGTTTTTATTTTTTAATAAAAAATATTTGAGTTAACTGTTTGATCTTTAACTATTTAATCTCACGTAAATATTTGAAATTTTATGGCAATATTTTGATGTACTTCATGGTTAACATAGTGTAAAAAAAAATATTGTTAGTGAAGACATGCATGTATGAAGGATTTATTAAGTCTGATTTTTAAGTATTTTTTGAGAAGGTGAAATTTGCTGTAAGTTTAGAGAGCCATGGGTCAAAATATTCAAAACGTTTGAAAGATTTCTTGAATTTAAAATTAATTAAATGTGAATTGATTAAATTTTGATATTAAAATTAATTATTCAAGCATATTTTAAGAATTAAAATTAATTAATGCTGAAAATTTCCATTAGTCTCTTTTTTATATGTGCCTTACTTTTTTCCCTAAGTTATTTGTTGATGAACACACAATTGTTACTAATAATCTAAGAGATTACTGTAAATGGATTATTACCATATATAACCGCGTATAAGTCGAGATATTTTGGACAAAAAAAGACTTCAAAGTGAGGGGGGGTCGATTTATACGAGGGGCCATAAAAAATTAAAAGAATCGGAAATTCAAAAATTTTTTTATATAATGCAGTTGTTTTCTTCCTGCACTCAAATTGGACGACTTATGAAATAAGTCACTTACTTGAAGTAATTTCATGACTTAAATTATGTGACGAACTAATCGCAGAGTTTCATACTTTAACTAGAGTAAGTTTCGATTAAACCAAAGAATTTTAACTTTTAAAAAGGGAAAATGCAGATAGATTTTACGTACGCGAATCTTTTCTGTAACAAATTCTAGAAGGTTATTATATACGATCATTTTTCCCCAATTATCCTGTGTTTTGGATATGTTGACGTTGAAGGATTTTGATTTTGTTTATTTACCAAGGCATTTTTTATCGTATATTTACTTTTTTTTTTTCTCAGATGATTTTGAATAAATGTAGTACTTAAAAAAATTTTTTCGAAGTTTCTTGATCGATTTTGGAAGTGGGGGGTCGACTTATACGCGGGTTTCTTATTTTCTACGAATTTTTATGCCGAAGTGGGGGGGTCGACTTATACGCGGTATCGACTTATACGGTAAATCACTTCTGCTTTTGGCATGCCTGCAGTGCAGGCCTACTTTTGGTGGTTGTGGTACCAAGAATCCAGATGTAGATAACACATACTTAAACAGAATTAAGTTACTGTATACAATGCAATCTTTGGCATGGTGAGCATAATAACAGTTGCAGATTTTAGTTTTTCGTTTGATTGTTTTAGTTTTTCCGTTTTATATAAAGCCAATGCCAATTTCTTTAGCATTTCCATTTATGAATTCAATGAGACATTATTGCCTTTTTTGTTGATTGTATGAAGAGAGACAGCTGATAAACATAACTTCTGGTCCCATTCTGTCTTCAGCAATGCACAATTTTTTCATTATCTTACATGCAATAGATTGATGCTAATTTTTAATATCCATTATCTTAGAAAGCATTTTCAAACTTAAGCCTGAATTTCATTATATATATATATAGATCAAGGTTCATAGCGGTCCTTACAAGTGTTTATAAGTCCTTTTATTTGAAAATAAAATATAAAAGCCCTTATAGGTGCTTACTTTTTCTCTAAAGCACTATTTTTTTAAGTTTTTAGTACTTATTTTTTGCTTTTAGTGCTTTTTAATCATACTCCCAGAAATAGCCTTTCACCCCTTTCTCTGCATTAACCCTCTGGCTGCTCATCCCGCGACTCAAATGTAGCAAAATCTGCTTATCCCGCGATTTCCGCAGGCAGGTGTTTTCTTCTTTTATTGAGAAGTGCATCTCGTTTTTTCCTCGTTTAACCATTGAAATAAATTATGTACAGTATTAGACGTTTAGTTTACGTTTGGCCAACAGATATCGTTAGCTGTCTACTAAATTGCGGCATTTGAAGGCATGTGGTATTGCCGCTCAAACTTCACTTTTTTGCCGCTTTTTTCTTACAGTAATGGCTGCTAGGAAACGTTCAGCGATTATCTTGATTATTTAATTAAATTATTCAATTATTAATTACATTTATTGATTAGATTAATGCAGTCAAAAGTCTTTAATCCGGACTCGTCGGGACTTCGGCGATTCCGGATTATCGATTTTTCCGGATTATAGATCATCAGTTTAAATCTGGTAAGATGGCATGCAGAAGTTATAAAATTAAAAATATGAAACCATAATTTATTTAATAAAGAGCAATTATGATCTAAAGGGTATCAAAATTTACAAAAAAAGAGCTTAATACTTAATTTTTACTTTATTAAACATTTCTTTCAACGCGCGCATGCGTAAAGCATACATTATGCATAGTCGAAATTAGAAAATTGCAACCAGAAAACTATTTGATGTGTACTCGTGATATTTATAATGACGAGGAATTGGATTTAAATCATATCAAAGACGGAGTACATCGAGATGAAATACTACATTTAGTAAGGAATTATAAGAATTATAAGCCAAATAAAATAAAAATATCTGCCCTGAAGATAAGGATAGTGCTGACAGATCAACTTCCAGGTCATTGCGTGTCGCGTTGCCCACCCCGCAGAGCGTGAAATTGATAAACATATTTCGGAATTGTTAGAGAATCAAAGGATATGCCTTTATCCATTTTTTGCACCAATTCCGCTTTTTGTTTGATGGACATCGAAACATGCTTTCACTTTGTAGATCCTTCGGTAGCTCCAGAATCGGAAATTCTTTTTGTCATAATTGAAAGTTCAAGCTTACTTTTATAAAAATTGCTCTAACAGTCTGCAAAAAATAATAAGCCGAATTCAATTGGAAGGTTAAGGAACAACACAATCTGGAACATTAACTGAAATAGATAAATAGATAATTAATTTTAGTTTAGCTTATACCATCCGTTATACGTTAAATGCGCATGCGTAAAAGTATTATGCGCATGTGTTAACGCATGCGCAGAAAGTTTGTAGCTTTGAGGTCCGGATTATAGATCATTCCGGATTATGGACGTCCGGATTAAAGACTTTTGACTGTAATTAGATTTATTAGACTGTGAAGTTATACTTTGAATCCTGTTTTGTACTCAAGCACACTATACTGCATTTCTAAGGTATTTTTTTCCTCAGTGCTTTATATTTTCTTAAATTTTATACATTTTACTTTTTTATATTATGCAATAAATAGAAATTAACTGTAATTCGACTGAAATTTATTTAAAAAAGAATTTTTTTGGTGATAACATCTGAAATTGCTTTTTCTGGCAACTTAGTTTCTCATGATAAAAATCTATATAGAAATATTTTCTAGAAAGAAAAAGTGCATTTATTCTCCGAATACCGGCAGCTGTTGATTCCGAGTTCATAATATCATGTGCAAAAGAATTTGCGATATTTCGCAGAGATAAAAGAGTTTTACTGTGCCTGTTAAGCAGATTTTTTTTCAGTTTCATTGGGCTATTTTTATATGATGCACATATCGAAATGTCAAAAGCATTATTTAGCTGAAAAATCTAAAGAACAGCTTACAATTCCCCTTTCCTCTTTTACCAGTTATGCTCAACTATCTGGAATTTTCAGATATTCAGCAATTTTCGAGTATGCCGGTTAGTTACGTTTTTACTGTTAAAGGATGACTGCACGAAGCAATTTCCCATCTTCTGATTTCAGAAAAGTTTCTTTTTTTACTTATTTTTACTTAAATTACTTTGTTTGCAATATCTGTTAAGGGAAAACTGTTATACAATGAAAATTTAGAAAATATTCAGAATTTTAATTTAAGTTAAATTATTTAAATAGTAATAGGAGTGGAAAAATAAATTGTATTTATTTTTAGGTGCCAAACGAATATAATAAATATGGCTTATTATTTATTTATTTTCTCTATTTTGAACTGAAATTCCATCATTAACTCTTGCTAGTTCTGCATAGTTTTTTTTTCCTCTCATTGTAAACTAGTTCTGTAAATTGAACTCTTATTTAAATTAAAAAAAAAAAAAAAAAAAAAAAAAAAAAAAAAAAAAAAAAAAAAGAATGTAATTGTTTGCCGTGGTTGAGTAATGCTCATTCTGTCTTAATAAATACTGAATTTCTCATATTTTAAATTACAAGTCTAATTTTTCTTTTAAGATTATGCAGTTGTGTATAATGTAATTAGACAGGTGCTTATTTTTTTCTTAAAATGTGCTTGAAAAGTGCTGATAGGTGCTTATTTTTTCAACTAAATGTGGCTACGAATCCTGTAGATTATTATTAATGAGGTTAAAATAAACTAAATTGAATTTGATATGGCTGTGTTTGTATTTAATTGGTAATGTCTTTCAGATGCAAAATATTTTAAAATTGTGGATCTGGAATTTCTCATTTCTCTGTGTTAAAATTGTTCTCTATGTTAAATTGTCTTTCTCGATAAATTTTGTTACTATGAAATACAGTATTTTGATATTTATATTATTTTTTTAATTAGTAATTCCACCAGTAATAATGAACCATTTGGATAAAAAAGGAGTTCTGAAGGTAAGATTCTTTTAGATCTTTTTCTGTGAAATTATTATATGTTGATACAGTGCCTTTTTTTTTTTTTTTTTTTTTTTTGCTCCTTTGGTGCTTCCAGGAGATTTGTGATTTCATCATAACATTCCTTATGATAAAACCAGAGCATTCAGATTGTGCAGAAATTTTCTGCTGAATGAATGAACTTGAGTGAAGTTCAAAGAGTGAAGTTCAAACACTTATGCCTAGTGCAAATATCATACAGAATTATTGTTGTTCACTCATAATGATAGCCAAGTATTTCTATAGCAGCAATGTACTTTTCCCCCTTATTTTAATGACATTGTCACAATTATCCTTAGGAGCTAAGAATTATCTAGTAACATTTAATTGCAGGCAGCATAAAGCCAACTTTTAGATGTATTTGAAAAATTGATAAAATACTTATACAATATAGTTTTAGAGCAGTTTTCATTTTGCTTTGTTGTAATGGGAGGGTATAAGAAAAGAGGAAGTTATCTGTAAAATTTAGTTTTTATTTAATGATTATATGCATGTATATATAGAGAAAAGTAGCACTGATAATTTTAATTATGACAAGTATTTCCCTTATATTATTAATATAAGATCACTCAAGACATCTTGTTTATGGGAAAAGAGCAGTTATCGTATGAAATTACCTTGGTATTTAATTTCTTGATAGTTATGGAAAGATAGGACAATCAAAAAATACCACAAGTTTAATTTGGACAATGAAAAATGCATAGAAACTGTCTAAAATGCCTCTCTAAAATAAAGAAAGAGAAAAGAGGTAAGGACTTTTAAAAGTTAAATTTCACATGTACACAAAGAGGTATGGGACTTAGTATAATGTTATGGATTTTGTACATATGTAAATAATTTTAATGAAATTGTAGTATTTTTTGGTATAATGTAAGAAGAAAATTTAAAGAAACGAGGTTTTGCCGGAAAAGTAAGGATAGAGGGGCAAGTGTATTTAACATTGAATGAGGTCTCGATGTTATCCAATCAAGGGGTACTTCTACTTCTGTAAACTGCAGATTACTTATTCCATTTCATTTAATGTAAATACAGTCAAAAGTCGTTAATCCGGACTCATCGGGACTTCGGCGATTCCGGATTATCGATTGTTCCGGATTATAGATCATCAGTTTAAATCTGGTAAAATGGCATGCAGAAATTATAAAAGTAAAAATATGAAACCGTAATTTAGAAAATAAAGAACAATTATGATCTAAAGGGTATCAAAATTTGCAAAAAGAAAAAGCTTAATATTTATTTGTTTACTTTATTAAACATTTCTTTCAATGTAAGTTGTTTAAGTTTTGCTTCGTTTCATGTGATAATACTTTCTCTTTAATTCTATTAAACAGACATAATTTCTTGTTCAGTTACAAAGTTCCGCTGTTCAAGTCCTATAATTGCTGTGTCGAGAATACTGACTAATTTGTCAATCGAAATATTTTCGTTTTCAATAACCTCTGTCACTTTCTTTGCTATCGGAAGCGAATTATAATTACGAGGCATTTGATTTAAATCATATCAAAGACGGAGTACATCGAGATGAAATACTACATTGAGTAAGCAATTATAAGCCAAATAAAATAAAAACATCTGCCCTTAAGATAAGGATAGTGCTGACAAATCAACTTCCAATTCATTGCACGCTGCCGCGGCGTTAAAGATAAACAAACGTTTAAGTTTAGATAAACAAACGTTTAAGTTTAGATAAACAAAGAATATGCCTTTATCCATTTTTTGTTTAATGGACTCCGAAAGATACTTTTGCTTTGTATATCCTTTACGTATTAGTAAATATATATCGGAAATTCTATTTGACATAATCGAAAGTTCAAGCTTACTTTTATAAAATTGCTCTAACAGTCTGCAAAAAATAATAATCCGGTCGTCAACGCGACGCATACGCAGAAAATTTGTAGCTCTGAGGTCCGGATTATAGATCATTCCGGATAATGGACATCGAAACATGCTTTCGCTTTGCAGATCCTTTGGCAGCTCCAGCATTGGAAATTCTATTTGACATAATCGAAAGTTCAAGCTTACTTTTATAAAATTGCTCTAACAGTCTGCAAAAAATAATAAGCCGGATCCAATTCGAAGATTAAGGAACAACGCAATCTGCAACATTAACTGAAATAGATAATTAGATAATTTTAGCTTAGCTCATACCCTCTGTTATACATTAAACGCGCACTCGTAAACATATTTTGTGCACACGCACAAGCATATCTACAGCCGTAAGTTGTTTACAAAGTTCCGCTGTTCAAGTCCTATAATTGCTGTGTCGAGAATACCGACTAATTTGTCAATCGAAATTTTTTCATTTTCAGTAACCTATGTCACTTTCTTCGCTATCGGAAGCGAATTATAATTACGAGGCATTTGATTTAAATCATATCAAAGACGGAGTACATCGAGATGAAATACTACATTGAGTAAGCAATTATAAGCCAAATAAAATAAAAACATCTGCCCTTAAGATAAGGATAGTGCTGACAAATCAACTTCCAATTCATTGCACGCCGCCGCGGCGTTAAAGATAAACAAACGTTTAAGTTTAGATAAACAAAGAATATGCCTTTATCCATTTTTTGTTTAATGGACTCTGAAAGATACTTTTGCTTTGTATATCCTTTACGTATTAGTAAATATATATCGGAAATTCTATTTGACATAATCGAAAGTTCAAGCTTACTTTTATAAAATTGCTCTAACAGTCTGCAAAAAATAATAATCCGGTCGTCAACGCGACGCATACGCAGAAAATTTGTAGCTCTGAGGTCCGGATTATAGATCATTCCGGATAATGGACATCGAAACATGCTTTCGCTTTGCAGATCCTTTGGCAGCTCCAGCATTGGAAATTCTATTTGACATAATCGAAAGTTCAAGCTTACTTTTATAAAATTGCTCTAACAGTCTGCAAAAAATAATAAGCCGGATCCAATTCGAAGATTAAGGAACAACGCAATGTGCAACATTAACTGAAATAGATAATTAGATAATTTTAGCTTAGCTTATACCCTCTGTTATACATTAAACGCGCACTCGTAAACATATTTTGCGCACGCGCACAAGCATATCCACAGCCGTAAAGGTCTTATGCGCATGTAAACGCCTATGCGTCAATTGACATGCGTCTATGCGTCAATGCCTATGCGTCAATTGACAAACTTTCTGCGCATGCGTCAATTGACGCATGCGCAGAAAGTTTGTAACTTTGAGGTCCGGATTATAGATCATTCCGGATTATGGGTGTCCGAATTAAAGACTTTTGACTGTATTTCGTCTGTATTGTGCTCAAAAAGCATATATTTGTAAGCTTCATTTCTTTTCTTCTATACTTCTTGCTCTAATATTTTATTTATCAGTTCAATGCGTAATTCTTTATATGATTAAAAGTCTTATCCAGTAACTCATAATGAAAAATGGATTGTTCTTGTTTGTCGCTGTCTTGAAATTACTGCAATATACAATTCCAGAATATTTTAATACTACATTTTTTTGGTGCTTTCCCAGCATGGTATATTGTAATAACTCATTTCTTTACATATAAATATGTGTTTAAGAAACCTGCTGCTTGTATGTGTTTGTAATATTTTTATTTAAACTGTTTTAAAATGGAAGTTGCATGAAATTTTAGGACACATGTTATTTACCAAGAAATGACATTCGATTCCTTTTTCAGAGGTATCCATGGATAAATGCTCCTCTTCAAGTGGGTCTTTGTGGTCTTTTGTAAGTATACTAAGAAATTTAAATTTTATTATCAGCAAGGTGAAAAATCCAGTATTACATAAAATTGTTTTTAAAGTTATGGGCTGCAACTCCGAAGTTGATAGGAACATGCACAACTTTTTTGTTAAATAAAACTGGATAAAGTGTGATATGAAAAAGGGGAGCAGGATAATGTTATATAAATAAAAATGTTGGTGAAAAAATTAAGTACATATACTCGATCAAAATAAAGTGTAATGCTAGTAGATTTATAGAGAAGTAGTTTGTTATAAAATGTAGAACTTTTTTAATTCAAAGTTTTATTTTAATGAATTTTTAAAGTGCAATTGTAGGACATGCAGAACCAAACATAGATTTTTTCAGCTTAAAAATATTGAATATAGAATTTGGTATATTTTAGGAGCGCTGATATAAGTTCAGATATTTATATTTTCTTTCATAAAAAAGCTTATGAGCTTTATTTTTACATTTTCTTTGTGTATTGTTACATAAATAAAATGAATACAAAAATAAATGATAATTTTCTCACATAAAAAAAATGGAAAAATTTGTTGTGATCGAAGCCAAAAACTGCTGTAGTATGTTTGTCAAATAATGTAAGAGATGACCTTTCAGTCTAGTGCCGCCATTATAATTTTCAAAGTTTTTTGTGAAAATGATAATCTGGATAAAAGCGGGTTTTTTTTTTTTTTTTTAGTTATTTCTGTAAGATGTTTTGTTGCATGTTGAGGATAAAACGTCAGCGTGCATTACATATTATACATATCTAAATGAGATTTTATGTCCATATGAGTTAATAAAATGTGAACTGAATGTCTTAGCAGTTATTCTGTCATATTTGGTAAGTTTTGTACTGCATCGAGTTGTTAGTAAATTAAGTAATTGAATCTAGCATCAGTTTCAGAGTAAAATTATTGAATATTATAGCATGATAACGGAGTAGAAGATTTCATTTTAACTGAACAGCATATTTCTCTCAAAAGTTGTTCTGTGTTCAGATTGCCATAGCCACTTCAGTTTCTTTTCTTCTCCTCTGCCTTTTAAATGCAGAGTCACAGCATTACATTTACAAAGTATAGGGGATTGAACAAAAATATTGAAATAAAAACATATTGCTGTGACTAATACAGTGTATGAAAACTGTTGGCATTCAAAACAGTTTGCAATCTTTCGGAATGAATAAATAGCAATATTGTATGCTTTGCAAGGGAATCTTGTACCATTCTTCCTGTAAAACATTGGCAAGTTCAGTTAACAGGGATGGCAGTGGACAGTGCTCATGCAGATTTCTCTCCAAAATAACCCAAAAAGGCTCGATAATATTGATATCTGGTGGCCATGGCAGATATGAAAGTTCATCCTCATGCTCAGAAAAGCAGTCCCGAACGAGCTGAGTAAGGATCTCTCATCTTGCAATATGGCATCACCATAGGGGAGCAAAATTTGTATCATATGATGGACGTGATCGAACAAAATACTCGCATAATCCTTGGCAGTGGTTTTGGGTCCCATGGCATGCCACGATATTGCTGCCCAAACCATGACTGACACCATGTTTCACTGTCGGCAGCAAACTGTCTCTATCATATGCTTGGAATGTTGTAGTTAAACTTACCCAAAAGTCAGAAACAGTGTTAAGGAAGACTCGTCCAACCAAATGACAGTTTTCTGTTGCTCTACAGCCCAGGTTTTATAATTTTGGCATCACTTTATCCTTTTATAGACATTTTGATCACTGATGAGTGGTTTTGCAACTCCACCATAAGGTAACATGTAACTCCACTAACCCAAAAAGGCTCGATAATATTGATATCTGGTGGCCATGGCAGATATGAAAGTTCACCCTCATGCTCAGAAAAGCAGTCCCGAACGAGCTGAGTAAGGATCTCTCATCTTTCAATATGGCATCGCCATAGGGGAGCAAAATTTGTATCATATGATGGACGTGATCGAACAAAATACTCACATAATCCTTGGCAGTGGTTTTGGGTCCCATGGCATGCCCATGATATTGCTGCCCAAACCATGACTGACACCATGTTTCACTGTCGGCAGCAAACTGTCTCTATCATATGCTTGGAATGTTGTAGTTAAACTTACCCAAAAGTCAGAAACAGTGTTAAGGAAGACTCGTCCAACCAAATGACAGTTTTCCGTTGCTCTACAGCCCAGGTTTTATAATTTTGGCATCACTTTATCCTTTTATAGGCATTTTGATCACTGATGAGTGGTTTTGCAACTCCACCATAAGGTAACATGTAACTCCACTATAAATGTTTAGCAACACACAGCAACTCCACTATAAATGTTTATAAAGATAAATGTTCATCACAGTACTGAAGAAATATTTTTGAAGTAGTGCCTGTAACCAAAAACGTGAATAATAACAAAACAACATTCTGTATATTCAGCGCTAAGCATTTGCTAATAATAGGCAATAAATTAGCATCAATAAGTTAGGACATCTTGTTCTTGTTTTAGTTTAACTGCTGGCTTGGGCTAATGAGCTAGTATAAACTATCAGCTTGAGTAAAAAAGCCTAGCAAATAACAGTTATTGAAAGCACTAAGGCAACAAGAAAATGTTGCCATTGTTTATGAGAATTATTCTAATTCTTATTGCCTATAATAGCTATCTGATTATTTGTGCTTATTCTTTGGATTTGAAAGAGTCATAACATTTTAATCCAAATAGCATCCCTGTTTGATAGATTGAAGGGATCGATTTCACAAAATTTTCTATGCTGTTTTTCTTTATTTTTTATGTGCTTATATACAGTATGAAGTTTGAGATTGTGACTGTGCTGATTCTGTATTTTAAATCATCAGTTTAATTGTAGCAAGATGGCATATAACAGTTATAAAATTAAAAATATGAAATAGTTGTTTATGAAATAATGAAGTATTTATGTCATTAATGTAATCAAAATTCACCCCCAAAAAAGAGCTCAGTCTTTATTTGTTAGGTTTATTAAACTTTTCTTCAATGTAAGTTATTTTGTTTTTTTTGTGAAAACTCTTTAATTTTATAGGTAAAAAGCTTCTTGTTCAGCTACAATGTTCCATTGTTCCAATCCCATAATTGCTAAGTTGAGAATATCCACTAATTGGTCAATCGAAATTTTTCAGTTGTCAACAAACCTGTCTTAACTTCTTTTTACTATCAGTTGTGGTATTTACTCAATTTAGATGATACTACAGATTTTCCCATCCATTAGTTGATTGGCTATTGGGGCACCGTGGCTGTTTCGCCGTTGGGACGTTTTGTCGTCAAGACTTATTTTTCTTTATATGACTGTATTACACTTGTATTAAATTTATTTAGATTAATAATTCTGTTTACCTTTTATATACTTAATAAACGTTGCTTGTAATATATATAGTTATTTACAAGTATGAGATAAAGAAATTACGCATAGTTAGTTGGAAAATTATGTCAGTATCAAAGAGAACTGGGGCTAAACTTCTGTTAAATGAGAAGTTATATTATCGATTTTAAAATTATGTGCGTACAATATTTACATAATTCGCCAAAATTTTGCGAAATTTTAATCGGCTAGTTCAGAGAAATCAGTCATACAAGCAGGAAATTCACATTTTTGTGAAATCTGAATGGAAAATTGAATTACTCTGGAATCTTGTCAGCACATTACTTTCTTAAAATTCATATGTCATGTGTAACTGTGTATTTGTATAAAACTGTACACAAAAACATTTTATATATTATTTTATATAAAATATTTATTAAATTAAATGAAATTATTTAACTTAACAGAGTTATTAATTTAAATGAACTTAGTATAATATTGCAAGATATAATACAGTCGTGTAAGGAAAAATATGTCTTGATGGCGAAACGTCCTGAGGGCGAAACAGCCACGGCGAATAGGCCCATTCTCTTTCTATACGCCTTATTCATTAGCAGTTGTACAAATGGTATGAGAGTCTACAAAGAAGCTGAAATTCTGCTATTCAGCTATATGCTGACACCCTTAAAAGTATGGATAAAAGCGAGAAAATGCTTGGTTTGGAAAGGCGTGTGTGCTGGGCAAAGAAATCAAATTGCAATATATTATAATTATTGATAAGAAACAGATTCGTCAGCAAAACTGCAGGCTTCAATGGCCAATAGCTTGTAGATAAATGTACTACAGTAGCTGCATTAATGGAAATTTGGTAACAAGTTCATTGAAACACAAGACTATAATATTATACTATATGCTATTAAATTAGTGTTTGTATTGCTGTGAGCATTCCTTTTTGTCTGTTGTCATTCTTTTCTGTCCATCAATTATCTGTAAAATTGCATGTATTTTACAGAAATTTAACTTTTCGGTCATTTATTCTCCTATCAATAAAAGTTCGACTTCCATACTTAAGGACCCCATTCTGGATATCAGTTTACAGGATTCCTTTCCAGCGCGGTTTAATTTACATTGGCCAAACTAGGAGAGCCTTAAAATTTCGTGTTAAGGAATATGAGGCACATGTTAGAAAAGGGAAACACAGAAGTCCTCTGTTGCCCAGCATTGTTGGTCCGAAAAATCACACTTTGCATTTTTCTGCAGCCAAAATTCTTCAAAAAACATCTTCCATTGGTGAATTAGATCTAGAGGCATTTCACATTCAAAAAAATTTTCTGTTCTAGTTAAGGACTCTTATTCCAATTCATCTTTACCTTCCGCCTTTAAGGAAATTGTTTTTCGTTTCATCAATAGACGGCGCCAGTAGCTTAACTCTTGCCTTGACTAGACATTCTTATCTTATCACTATATTTTATCTCGTTCATTTGCACTTTGGCAGCTAAGGAAGGTGGATTGGTAAAATCATCAATACTAGTCCTGTGAGAATTTGCAAATGTAAGACTAATTTTTGTTTGACTTCTAAATTAATAAATGACTTGTGATGTTTGGCAATTGGAATGCCATTAACTGAAAAGTACGGAATTTATTTATCCAAAGCTTTTTCAAACGATGTGTTGCGTTTTAAATGCCTTTCATTGCTCTTTTTTTTTTACATTCGGTACAGCCAGCAAGTGAACAGAAAGAGATTCTTAACAGCAGCACTTGAAGAGATTTTTCTGGCAATAAAAACACAACATTATGGTAGAACTAGTGTAGGAGTCAAAATTTTATTTACGAACAATGTATTTTATCTATATTCATTTTCTCACTTAAAAATATAAAATATCTCATTGCATTTTATGGAAGTTTTTTTTTTCTTAACTTCATGAAAAAAAATTCCTATTTATCTCTTTCTCTTCATACTATGTTTTGCCATGTACTGAGAGTATTTTCTTTTCTTTCTTTTTTTTTTTTTTAATATATTGGAAATGTAATAGTTTTATATTTAATAAAACTGTTTATGTACTTTTTAAGATGATTTAGATAGTGATTTATGTGCAAACAATCCATATTCAATGCAAAGTTTAGAAAAGAAAGATAAAAATTCAGGAAGGTGTGACCTATAATCCACAAAATTCTCTTAATTTAACCCACTTTTCAAGGTGTGTGCAGATTATCAAAATTCTACTATGTATCGTATGTAAAGTCTTCTCAGAAAACATTAAAGAAGAGTCATGTAATAAAAGAGACCAGAAAGAGTCTAGAATTTTAGTTATTAAAAATATTAGGGAATGCCAACAGGAGAGTAAAAAAAAAATTGTCATTTGATAATTATGTAGTATTAGGCAATCACCTTAGTGCAAGTTTGGTGATTTTTTTATGAAAAAAAAAAGAGACTTATCATAGCAAAACATTATTTTTTGCATTCATATTTTAAATTTATTTAGGTATTTATTTCCAAACTCTTTCAATAAATTTAGTTATGCGTGGATTTTTGTTTTTTCCAGGTGGGAATTTTGTTGTGATCATTTTAAGAATAGTTTCAGAGCAATTGTTTTAGTGATTTTGTGGAAAAATACTGTATTTTTATGAAAATTTTACCTCATTTTCTTCCATTATAGGCTAATCTATCAAGCCTATTTAAAACCTATTTGAAATTATTTTAAAACTGTGTTTAAAATGAAACATATCATAGTATGTGTATAAAAATCCACTGGTGTTCCAGAACACATAAATTAGTAATTTTGCATGTTAAAACTGAAAAATGCACGTAGTCATGAAAGTTTGGCACATTCGGAAAATTTGGTGACTTTTGCTAAGGTGGTTGCACTAATGTAAGTAAGGACCTGCTCCTCTGTAATTTTACTCTGGATAAATTACTGGCGTGAAGATTGAATTAAATATCTTATAAGCTGCCACTGAAATGAGTTAATTGGAATATATGGTGCCAAATGAATAATGTTTGACATATTTAAAATAAAAACACTAAGGAATTTGCTTAATAAGGTAAAGAGGCACAGTCCATGGTACTTAGCAGGCAAAGTCTGTCCTGTTGAAACACAGCCTGCTGAAGCAGTATTGATTCAAGCACTACCAACTGCTCTCAGGGCATATTCCAATGCAAAATTTCATTAGCAAAGCTCACAAAAGGCAGAATTTCACAAACTAAATCGTGAGAGTTTTTTTTTTTTTACGAGGGAGGACAGTGCTAAAGTTAATTCCTACTAGTGTTGATGCATTCTTAGATATGAATTTTCTCTATGGAGGCAAATGAATGTTTAAAATATATTTTAGGACTGTCATGCCATTTCATTTGTTTAATTCATGTTTATTCAGATTTTAAAAATTCTAATTCATCAGAGTATTTTATTAATCTTTTAATTTGTAAGTAATAATTTTTTAATTCTATTCTAGCTTAGTATTTGCAACACCTCTTTGCTGTGCACTTTTCCCCCAGCAAAGGTAAAGTTTTCAAAACACTTTTATAGTTATAGTAAAACAATGTATTGGTGTAATTAAGCATATATTTTTAATCATCTAAAAATTCTTACTTTGTATTTTTGTTTCACAAATTTCCAAACTAGTTTAGCTACACAGGTGTGGATGGAGCCTGATTATTCCTAGACCCACAAGCCTTGGTCTTAAGGGCTGCAGGTTTTAAGGTGTTTCAGAATCATCCTGTAACTCCTTATAACTCTATTTTTCTCCTCTGAAAGTAAAAAAGAAATTGGAAAACATAGAGCTAGAAAGAACAGTATGCCTATTGACCCAGACTTTTTTCAGATTTTGGTTAAAACTTAACTAAGATTTTTACTTTCTTGTACAAAGTGGAAAGTATTGTAATCGTGAAAAATTTTAGGTGTCGTATTTCAACGGAAATGTGCATTTTGTCCGTTACTGATTCCATGTGGATATTTCTTTTGCATTATGTCTGGACATACAAACAGAATTTAAAGACTCTTTTTTCCAAAACAGATTGTGAAATGGATTTAAAGTGGATTCAAATGGGATTTTTTTGGTGACATCTATGTGTGCATATGTATATACATATGTGTACGTATATGCATATGTATGTATCTCGCATGACTAAAAAATGATTAGTTGTAGAACATTGAAATTTTATGCATGTGACTGCTATAACATCTAGCTGTTCTACTCCCTTTTTTATTGCAGTTGACAGTACCAAACGTGTACATATATATACCTGGCTCCAAAGTCCTTCCCCGGCCTTTATTTTCGCAATCATTAGTTATATTCATATGCATCCAGTTGTGGAAGTCTTCTAGATGATGAAAATATTCATGTTTTGACAATGTGAAATTAAAAAAAAAAATTTTTTTTTGACAGATAATGGAATCTAACTTTTAATGCAATCTCCTGGTTCCTATACTTACTTATATTTGGGAAAGTTTTATGCTTCTTATTAAAAAGTAGTTATAAGAAGTTTGACTTCTATGAAAAAAAAATTCAATATTTAATTTCAAAATTTCCAGTTTTGGATATCCTTTTAAACTTGCCTTGATGAATCAGTTAACTAAATTAGAATAATTCAAGGAAATAAGTGCAGCAAAAATGTGTGTATAATTTAATAGGCTGTAGAAGGAAGTCGTGTGGCATCCATATCAGTCTTTTTTAACATGTATTCTATGCATAAGAACAGTCTTTCATACAAATGAGTTGTAAGAGTAAGCATATAAAGGCAAAAATGGTGAAAATAAATCTTGGTTAAATTAGGATTTGCTTTATAGAATTTAAAAGTAAAGTATGCATGCTAATGAAAGTATTCAGTATGTACACAAATTATATGAAAAATTTAGTGTGGTAAATTTCAAAACAAGTTTACAGGCAAAGTGCTGCTTGTCATTCTCTGTGCCAAGTTTCTCACCTTTGAGATTTTTTTTTGGCCAGTTGCAGTTTGTAGCAACAAACAGTGTACTGTCTGCAAGGCCCTTTTTAATGGGATTAGGAAGTATGGTGTTTGGAAAATGAAAAGCTGTCAATCTCAAAGGGTTGAGAGTAGAACTAGATCTTCCAGGTGTACCACATGTATCTCCATCTGAATACTTTTGGATATTTTGTTCAATCTTTTGCATTAAAAAAGTCCAGAAGCTTAAATTTTTGCAATGGGATGTCTCTCTCTCTCTCTCTTTTTTTTTTTTTTTTTTCTTGTAGTAGAGGACATAAGCTTTCCACACAGGTTATGGAGATTCAAACTGTTTGGATGATTATTAAATCGTTTTCCAGCTTTATCACTATTGAAGATGAGTTCAAGAAATAACAATATGTTTCATTTTTGCTGTCCTCAAGATACCTAAAATCAAATTTTGTATAAGTAATATCAGGAACATGCATTCTATCACTCACTGAATGTTTGCAGAATGTTATCTTATTCTGAATATTAAAAAATAAAAATGATAGCAGCAGAAATACTTGAAAAATCAGTGAATTTTATACAGATTCAAAAATTTAGGCAACAAGAATGCCAAAATATGACTTAAAGTCTAAATACTAATAAGTCTAAATACTGAAAATGCATTGTTGATGATTAAATGGAGGGAGAGGCAGAATGAGTTTTTAAAAAGAGAAGAAAATTGTTGAGATGAGCAAATTTTGTTACCTTCAGGTTGCATGAGAAAATCATAGGAGAAGCAGTCAGAAGGTTAAGATTTGGAATCTAACAGAACACAGAGATGTGAAAATTGTATTCTTATTTCTTATGAAAACCAGTTTGGAGCATTTAAGCATCAAATGTGTATTATCACTGAAAATCTGATTGTATAATGTTTGTGAGCGATTGACATTCATTTAGAGTTGTAGAAATGTAGTTTGTAGAAATATATTTGCAAGGAAATTAATAGTTTGTTTTTAAACACAAGTTAAGTCCATAGTTGATCTAGCTCATAGTTATATAATATGTTTTTGAGACAAAGATCTTATGCAGCAGTTCTTAAATGCTACAGCATACTATAGTTCCATATAAGATGAAGTATGAAACATCAGTGGGTGATTTTTTAAGACCTAAAAATGATATTTCAATGGCTATGAAAAATGATCATAAGTATGAATGTTCATGGAAAAATGGCCATAAGTATAACTGCTCATGAAAAAATGGTCATGGATTACCAAGGCCAAGAAAGTAAATAACCATGCTTCTTAGGTCTTTGAGACAGCAAAGTGAAAAGTGACCACCAGAAATGGTAACTTTAGCAAAAAAGATACTTTCAAAGAAAAAATATGACTGTCCTACCTTATTTATTGACTTAAAGTTATGTTTTATTTGTATAGTTTGGTTCAGCCCAATTTTGTGAATAGGCACTTCAGACCACCAAACTGATTTTATATTTAACTAAATAATTATTATTAATATATACTAATTATTTGTATTAATATAGACTATATATAATTGTTTTACAATATAGTAAAGTTAAATTAAATTTAAATAATTCTTTTGCACCATTGCTGCAAGGAATGAAATTTGAATTTAACAAATATTCTCTATTCATATAAAGCTAATTAAAGTAATTAATTAGCTAAATTTAATTAAGAAATTTTAATTGCAAAAATAAAAAAAATTAATGCTGCAAACTAATTTACAATATCATTTAAATTCTAAGAGCATATGTAAATTAAGTGCATGTATCTAAAACCATGAAAAAATATATCAAATATTCTAAAAAATTAATCTCAAAAAATTTTTAAAACCAAATTAAATTGCATAATTGTTGAGCAGGCAGGAGACAGACTTATTAAGGGGAAGTTGCCTCCAAACCTAATTATTCAATTACTCAATTTGTGTTTCATCATCCATATAGGCAAGGGTAAAAGTATATTTCAAAACCAAAAGTCAAATGAAATGTTGTTAATTACTAAAAAAGAAATTTAAACTAGTAGGAATTTTGAGAATTTTAGCAAATAAAAAGACTAAGAATTAAAATAAAATATTAATTAAATGTCAATTAAGAGTAGAAAAATTTTTTAGAAAACCAAAGTAATTTAGAAACAGTTGCCTATTGGAAACTCTCCCTACACGAATTATGCATGTAAACCTAAAAAAACAATATAAAAATCTATCAATATATAAAAATAATAGTAAAAAGGCTTGTAAATAGCAAGTTTTAATTTAACTTACCTAGTACTACATAGAATTCCCGAGTGTGGACTGGCATTTGCTAAACTATGTGAAGTTGAGTAGTTTGTTAGTGCTAACTGTATAAATAGAGGACACTAATACAATGTAAAGTTGAGTGTTAAGCTGCTACCTGTGAGAGCTATTGTAAAAACATATGCTGTAAACTTTAATAATGTGAAATGTTTGTTTTGTGTGTAAAAATTTTGCTAACTTTGAGGCATTGTTAAAATGTGTAAAAAAGTAAAAATTGTGAACTGCTACTATTTGTGAAAATAGATGTTGCAAACTACTAAAGATGTAAAAAATTGAAAATTTTTTAGTAAAATTAAAAGTTCGAATAAATATTTTGATTGAATTAATTTTAATTTGAAGTAAAAAAAATTTTTTTGTAATAGAAAATTAAAAAAAAATTTTTTTTAAATCACAAATTGAAATAAAGAATTATTGTAAAAATATTTTTGTGTACTAGATTGCATTATTTAAAACTGATTTTCTACAAGTTAATCAAAACTTTACCTAAATACTGGCCAAAGGTAAGGAAAATTAGATAAAAATCTTCACTCAATTTGGGCTATAATTGAGACTTTTGAAAAGAGTGGGCCCTTCATTAGTGAAAGGAAAGAATCCAGTATTGATAAAATATACATGTTTACAAATTAATTTATATTTACAAGTAATCCTTTAACTCTTCAAAATCCTCCATTAAATTGTGTTGAGACCTGGTTATTAACTTAAACATTAATTAGTTTTATTATTCCTTCCTTTAAATCTTCTATTTCACTACATATATTTTTTATTCTAATTATTTGGCTATAAAAGTGTTACCTGTTACTTTTTTAGAGATATTAGAGTTCTAATTAATTAGTTTAATAGTATCAAACTGGAATGCCCTCCTTTTATCATATAATTAATTTTTTTGTGTTTAATTATGAGCAGGTCTAGGTACTTAATATTATCTTGATTTATATTAGTTCTATTAAATGTTAAACTGTCTGGGTAATTTTTGAATTGTTCAAAAGCAGAATTATCATTGAAAGTTGGAATATCACCAGTGTATCTAAATGTATTTGCAAATAACTTTTAATTCATTCTTGTTCAAACTAAGTTGGAATTTGTATTCATTAACAAAAAGAAATAGGTTGCATAATTGTGTAGAAATGTTTGCTCCCTTTGGAATTCCATTCACCTGCTGAAAGATCTTATTATTGAATTTAATGTAGTTATTAAATAATGCACAATGTAGGTCAGTTTTCCATCTTTCAATTCAGAGGATGCTTAGCATGTCAAAAAAAAGTTGTGGGAGTTGCATTGAACTAGTATAAAGTTCGTCCAA